AATGCACATTTTCCCTTTTTTGTATGCACGTTTCTCTTTTACATGTTGCACAATGCTCAAATCCAACGCTCCAGAATCATTCTCATTTCTCTCCTAAGATGGTATTCTCATTTGATCCTTACCCTATATATATATATATATATATATATATATATATATATATATATATATATATATATATATATATATATATATATATATATATATATATATATATAATAGAGGGGAGAACTACCAAATAAGCCCTTTTATAGGAGGCTCTGTCCGGCCGTCTCCATTTGGGGCTCTTTCCGGTGGAATTGTTTGTTGAAATATTTTGAGCATCTTCTTCATTAAGTCTAGTTTACTCATACCAAATTTCAGCTAAAAATTCAATCTGGAAGGCAGTCAAATGAATTTTTGAAGATAACTGCGTAGTTAGGCAGCGCAGTATACTTCAGAAAATCATTTGACTACCTTCTCAATTGAATTTTTAGTTGTAATTTGGTATGAGTAAACTAGACTTAATGAAGAAGATGATAAAAAAATTTCATCAAAGAATTCCACCGGAAACCACCCCAAATGGCGACAGCTGGACAAAGCCTCCTGTAAAAGGGTTTATTTGCACTTTTGATGAAAGTTCGAGGACTTACTTGACAGTTCTCCCTATAATAGAGTCATTGTTGATGATTGCACTGTTATAGATGTATTAGTGTTAATATTTGATCATTAAACTATTATTTAAGTGGGGTAGCCGCAAAGGCAGGGTACGCCCCCCTCCTGAACCGCCACCTCGGAGTGGCCGCGTGGCTAGGGTTTGGAAGACGACTCTTAAGGGTCCACTTGAGATTTTGGAAAAGTCTTCTCTCCAAGAAGAAATATTGAAGCTTCTCTTAATTTTAGGGAAGCAGTTTAGCTCTACTAGTTTTGGCTTTCTTTTAGTTTTTTGTGTTGTCATGTTTTTATGTTGGTTGTGTTTTTGTTTTACTTCAGTCAAATTTTGGAGTTTGGGTCGGGTGATGGAAAGTGTATTTTGACCGTCTTTGGCTCAGTTATGTCCATTATAGGATCAACGAGTCATAATGTTTTTTGTAAGGTGATTGTCTCTGCGTTTGGTTTGAGGGCCGGCGGTCGAGAGGGGACTTTTTGTCGTTTTGTTAATTGCCCAAGTTCTGATTATTTAATATAAGCCACTTTATTTATGACCAAAAAAAGAGTGGTAGTTATTTCTTAAAATGAAAATGAGAACATTTAGTTGGACATCCAAAAAAGGAGAACTATAAGCTGGGACAGATTGGGTAATATTGACTAAACTAATATAATAAAAAATAGTTGTTGTAGATAGTGATTTCATAATGTATAATTTATTTTATTTAGAATAAAATAATTAGGTATAGATACAAAAGTGAAAACACAATCTTAAGGATGATTTTAATTGGATTGAATTTTTTTGATCTGCTCTGGTCCAGTGTAGTCGTTTTAAGCCTAGTCTAATCTTATCTAAATTAGTTTGGTATGTTCTAATAGATGTAGGTTCTATGTGTATTTTACCATTGTCAAATTTTGGTTTAATATATTTATAGTAAACCAATTTAATTTAAAATCTGTCTGAGTACAACACTTAACCATAGGATACAAAAAGGTGAAAAGGGTGAAATCTTGTTTATAGTCTCATCAATTGTGAAATAAGTAAACACTTTTTATGGTAAATGCGTAAACAACTATAAACAATTTAAAATCACTACTTGTTATGTAAAAAAAAGACAATGTATCACATTATTGAGCTTAATTAAGTTAAATAATTGTGTCCAATTAACGTTAATGTTGTACACTTTTATTAGTTTTATATATGCCCCCTATAATCAATTTTTTAGATCCCACATTGTACTTAATTTGGACAAAAAATGTTGAGCTCAAGTAAAATCACTCTAGACTTCTAGATTAGAAACTATGCAAATATCTTTAGAATGCCGATTCAGTTCCTCACAACCTCATGAACCCCCAATAAGAAAACTAGCTATTTAATTCTGTAATGCAAGACTAATGACGTTGGAGACCTCATACCTGCACACATGGAATGTGGGAGGTAATGTATTACCAGTTTACCACCTCATGTCATGACAAGCAAGACTTTGTTGTATTTCTACATTTTAGTGAGGTTGTCAAGAGGAGAACCGTGTAAACATATAGTGTCAATCATATATTGCTCTGCATGAGAAATGTTGTTTGTACACACCAAATTATACACGTCATTTTACACGCCACCCGAATCGTCTGTGCACAGACAATTTTTTCCATTTTGTGAAGAGAATAAGTATTCACAACGACAATTTTTTTGTTTGTGTCCACTTATTAGTGTTCAAGATAATCAAAGTATACGATAAACGTGAACACGAAGCATGGTTGGCTCCACATTGTGTAGATTCTTAAGGGGATGTGTGATTCTATAATGGGTAGATTCAAGTGACTATCATGAGGTTGGACTAGTAATATAACATGTATACAACTTAGCAGAACCGTACTCGAAGAACATATGTGAAAATGGAACATCTCTTGGACCTATTGTTGGGTCCACAATTCTAAAATTTGCTCTAGGCATCCGCCTAGTCCCCTTCTAGGCACTAGGTGCTGGTTGGGCGCCCCAATTTTAGTCTAGACGCTTCGACTAATCGATTTAACGCAAAGGTGAATTAATAGACCGTCTATGGCACTTAGTTGCCCGCCCAGAGTGTTTAATTATTGGCTGCCTTGGCGTTTAGATTCGTCGATCATTTTATTTTGCTTTTATATTATAGTATCCTAAGAGATATATGTATCTTTAACTTTAACAACGCATATAAATTAAGCTACTAGTTGTGTTCAAGATAAAAACTATACATGTTAATATATATAATCTTAAGTGAGTAGGTATAATATATTATCAACTGTGAAAATTCTACCATTCGTGCATGTTAATGTGTATGTGTGTGCGTATTTTTTACACAGACACAAACACAACATTACTTATCATATATATTTATTCAAAATTTTTGATAGTGCTATAATTTTTATGTCTCTGACTAGCCCTCACTTAGTCCGCCTAACTGCTTAGGCCCCGGGCGTTGGGTTGATGCCCAACTACCGTCTTTTAAAACATTGGTTGGGTCATAGGAGCTAAATTTGAATTTAGTAGTTTCAACTCAACTCAATAGAGGTGTTCGTTTGAAGCTTTACGAGATCAAGGAATGAAACTCTTCTTTAACTCGATAGAGGTTCAATATTCAACTGAGGCGCTTGATAAATATGAATAAATGTAAGATTTTGGCTTTTAGAACACTGAATACTACACATGAAGATATAAGAAGATGTATTAAAGCATGACAATATATAAAAAAATAAAGGAATAATAAATACAATAAATATGAATGTCCACACTATTACCTTCACCATACTCAGACTTTATTAACAATGACACTTTTATCCAAAAATACAATAAATTTACTTTCAAAAGTATCAAATAAACATACGTATTTTCACTATCATGTAATTTGTTGAAAGGTAAATATGGGATCGATAGTCGGAGAGAGAAAATAACTTATTTGATTGAGCACGCTACAATTTTCCTTACCTCTTATTGCAGTGTCGCTAGTCGAGGCATGCACTTGGAAGAATGAAGTTTAAGAGAATGTCCAATGTGCACGGTGCACATGTGTTTATCTCTCTCATGGCACATGTGTTTCTATATCTTACATCCGAGTGTACGGTCATCACTATACATCCAGTCCAATTAAGGAAGAAAGCGACCCATTAACTGATACAGTCCATAACCAAAAGGTCCAATTTTTTGAGGCGGTGACATTTTCGTAATTTAAGAGAAAAATCACGGTTTTCGTTAAATGAACGTTAGTGTAATTTTAGTGAGCATCTGACCTATTTTATTGATTAGCAGGAGCCTAACAATTAGCATTATCATCTCTGGTTCATATCTTTTAATTCACTTTTTTTTTCTTTTATAAAACTTACTAAATTATATGTATAAACAATTCCAATGAATTCCAATATGCGAATTTAATGTTATATGATACTTTTAAAATATGGATTGATATGACATTTTACAAATGAGCATAACATCCGTACCAAATGAACATATGTAACTTACAAAATGTGCATTAATATGAAAATCGTAAGGTTTGTTAATTGAACGTTACAACATTTTTATTGAGTATCAAACCTCTTCTATTGAGATGAAAATCACGGTTTCTGTCAAATGAGCATTCATGAACTTTTACTGTGCATTACGCTTATTCTGTTGAGTATTAGGAGTATAATATTGAGCATCTGATACTTTTGAATCATGAATTGTTATGACATTTTAAAATGAGAATAATGTCATTATCAAATGAGTATAAATAACTTATAAAATGAGTGTCAAAAAATTCAAAACGTCATTTCAAATCGCTAATGTGCTCAAATCCTCTTTTGTCTATGCTCATTACGTTTAAGCGTTAAGCTCATTTGATATGTGAGAGCGATGTGGTAAGGGTTGGAATGATCTGCCATGTCAATATAACTGAAATCTACTCTATACAGAGCATTGACGTTGTCATCTAGAATCTATGTAGCACCAGAGATGGAGGAACAACGACGAACTAGAGACGCCTGAATTCTTACGGACCGGAGCACCGACGATTGGGCAACTCAGGTGAGACTCGAACAAACCAGGTTGCAGCAAGATTGAATCTGCTCCTGGTCAGACTGCATCAATAGAAGAACTCTTCGCGTCGCGGTGATGGTGATGGTGAAGTTCAAATTGATGATAGTTGGTGAAGGTCGAGCGGCAATGTCAATGACAAAAGGATCAACCCGCAATAGATATAGAATGGAAGAAGAAGCCTCAAAGTTACAGAGAATTACAAAAATACCGATTGTAGCTATACACACGGCTGTACCTTATAATTTGCCCTGCAAATGTATTTCTTAGAAGAAAATAAAATCAAAACTACTCGTTTACGAAATTCAGAAAAAAACTAGGCGTAAGGGTACAAGGGTTTATCCCATCGGGTCGGGATGAGGATGTGGGGTTGGGTGAGAGATTCACGTTTTTGAAAAAACGGGAAAAAAAACTCTCGTAAATTTCTAGAGCTGGGGTTCCGCACAACTTTTAGACCCTCAAGGCCGTCTGACATGGAAACCAAAGCCCTATCGTACCTCCCGCCTTCCCCCGCCATAAGAGACCGTTTCACTACCAAGACCTCCAACTCTGCACCGCGCAAATTTGCTGTAAAATGCTCCACGCATCCACCATTAGGTATTGTTTCTACTTTTTTACTTGTTCTATTTTCTTTTAATTCTATGATATACTGAATATTGATGTTCGATCTATTTGATATGGTGCGAGTTTCGCAGCCGACCAATCCTTGCAGTTCAAAGAAGCTGCACGACACGGGAATTTGATTCCACTCTACAGGTCAATATTCTCCGATCACCTGACTCCTGTGCTGGCATACAGGTGTTTGGTGAAGGAAGATGATAGGGAAGCTCCAAGCTTCTTGTTCGAGTCTGTTGAAAGGGGGAAAGTTACAAGTATTGTAAGCTTGCTCAGTCTTCTGTTTCCTGAAAATTGTGGGAAAGCAACTGTTTTTTCTTTTCTAATGTAAAATTCATATCTTAGGGGCGGTACAGTGTTATTGGTGCTCAACCTACTATGGAGATTGTTGCAAGAGAAAACCTTGTGACAGTTATGGACCACCATGAAGGGAAAAAGACAGAGACATTCGAGGAGGATCCTATGGTCATTCCTAGGAGGATTATGGAGAAGTGGAAACCACAATGTCTTGATGAGCTCCCTGAGGCATTTACTGGTATTGCATTATTTATTTGTTTCATAGGTTCAGTTATTATTTATTTCTCCAGAATACTTGGCTAGGACATTATAATTTGATCAACTCATATATTTCCATGTCCATTATCTTTGAAAGTTTTGTTTGCCGACCCTCCTATCAAGTTATATTGCAGTTTGATGTCTTCATTAAATGGTAGCTTTAGTGTTTTTGTTGTATTTTGTTATTACCTTTTGATTAGGTTCCTAATCATTTTAAACTTTCATCTTCTTTTATTGTCATTTATTTTAATGTGTTGTTTTTATAACCATTTCATTTCATGTATACTGAAATTCCATACATTGAAATATTTGACATTGACATGAAGTGTTGACCTTAATATAGACTACTATTCGTTTTTCCTTTTATATGGCACTCTTAATTTTTTGGCAGTTATTGAGTTGACATTGTTTTTTCTTTTCAATATGCACATAGTTTTGATTTTTTTGCAAAACATATACTCCCTCCGTCCCATAAAATAAGTCCCATTTCAATTTGGATCGGAGTTTAAGAAAGTGGGAATAAAGTGGAAATGTATGGTTGTGGTTGAGTAAGAAAAAGGTAAATGAATGTTAGCCACACAAAACTTTCCAAAAACGGAAATGGGAACAATTTTTTGGGACGGCCCAAAAAGGAAAATGGGACTTATTTTATGGGACGGAGGGAGTATCAGATGTACATTGAATTTGTTTGACAGTGGAAATCTAGTTTAGCTTTGAGCATTTGAGATTACAAAACACATAACTTGTATCGAGAATCTCTACACAATCAGCGCTTTGCAGTTATTGATGTCACGTTCTTTCTTTAACAGGTGGTTGGGTTGGCTACTTCTCCTATGATACAGTGCGTTTTGTTGAGAAGAAGAAATTGCCTTTCTCAAATGGCCCATTCAATGACCGGTTCCTTCCTGATCTTCATATTGGCCTCTATGATGATGTTGTTGTATTTGATCATGTAGAAAAGGTTATACTACCTACAATTTTTAAAGAAACTACTTTTTTTTTTTCAAATTTGTGCTTTATCTTTTATACTCCCTCCATCCCAAAAAGCTTTGCCAAATTTCCGTATTAAGTCGTCCCCAAAAGCTTTGTCATTTTCTTTTAAAGTAACAAATTTATGGTTCATATTATTTCTATATCCTATTCACAAATTTCAACAATACAATTTTTACTTTTTTATTCTACGTGCAAGTCAAAGCTGACAATTTTTATGGGATAGAGGGAGTATATACTATTCAATACTCCCTCCGTCCAAGTTCCCGGTTTGACCTAAACACATATTTATGTAAGATAGAGTTTTGTTTTTACTTTCTAAGTATAACCTTACTTTATATCAAATCAAACAAAAAGTGGGTAAAAAGTAAGGGTAGTTGTGACTTTTTGGTTAAAAGTGGTTTCCTTTTATAGAAATGAGAACTTCTTTTTGAGACATCCATAAAAGGAAAGTCGGAACTTCTTTTTGAGACGGAGGAAGTATAATCTTGCCAAAGTGCTACTTCCCTTGGTTTAAAATTATTTTAGCATGAAACTTTGCTAGAAAATTTTGCAAAAAAACTGAAATAATACAATCCACAAAAAAGGAAAGATAGGGATTCGAACCCTCAGTATGACCTTATATTTCCTGTATTCTTGATGCTTTTAGTTTTTTATTGGTATTTTACGTCTTAAGTATTGTGATAATTTAATTTGTAGTAAAGGATCATGCTTTAGTAAGTGAATTTCCCTCTAGTGCATTTGCATGGAAATACTAATTGTTATCATTACATACCAGAAAGCGTGTATCATACACTGGGTGCAATTAGATCGCTTTGCTTCGGTTGATGAAGCATTTAATGATGGCGTGAGCCGTTTAGAAGCTTTATTGTCGAGAGTGCTCAACATTGTACCGTACGTTACAAATATTGCTTTGAAAAGGCGTATTAGTACCTTTAACTTTTTTCAACGATAGTCAAAGTACTTGACAAAATTTTAAATTTCAGTCCTAGATTAGCTGCAGGATCAATAAAACTACGTACAAACCTGTTTGGTTCGGCGCTGAAGATGTCAACCATGACTAGTGAAGATTACCAGGAAGCTGTTTTGAAAGCTAAAGAGCACATCCTGGCGGGGGATATTTTCCAGATAGTTCTCAGTCAACGGTTTGAAAGGAGAACGTTTGCAGACCCATTTGAGATATATAGGGCATTGAGAGTTGTTAATCCAAGTCCATACATGAGTTATTTACAGGTTTGTATGTTCCTTTTCTGGTAAAGCAGATATTATCTCTTATGCCTATCCTAAAAAAGTTTACTTCAGAGTTATAGTTGTATTTTTCAGGCTAGGGGATGTATACTTGTTGCATCAAGTCCTGAGATTCTTACTAGAGTCAAGAAGGTAAACAGACCAAACTCCAAACCGCTTCTATAAAATCAACACTTCTCAATTTTTTTTGTGGGATTTACATAGAGATGCTCCCACTTTGATTTACACATTCAGCTGCACATTTAATATTGTATTTGCTTTCCTCTATGGAAGCTCACTTGGTAACCTCACCATCATTGTGTAGGGGAAAATCACCAATCGGCCACTAGCAGGGACAATCAGGAGAGGGAAGACACCTAAAGAAGACTACATGCTGGAAAACCAACTTCTGCATGATAAAAAACAGTGTGCAGAGCACACCATGCTGGTTGACTTAGGAAGGAATGACGTGGGAAAGGTCCTGTTCTTCTAAGTGTGTTTTATTTCAATTTATATTGACAAACATCAGTTTGGTTATTTCCGTGATGCAATTCTATGATTAATATATGTTTAACAATATTATCCATATAAAGAAGGGCAGGTTGGTGCACGAAGGCATCCCTGCAAAGTGAGGGTCCGGGGAAGAGTCCCACCACTAGGGTGGGGAAAACCTTCCCCTATCAAGTTTTGACAAGAGGCCGCTTCCAAGACTTGATCACACAACAACACCTTAACCATTGCGCCAAGGTTCCCCTTCAATAATAATATCCATATAAAAAAATAAGTTTATACCAATTAAATGTATAAAAAAAGTCACACCTATATTATTAATCATGCATCTAGATGCTCATAATAGTATTGTCTTGAAAAGTTAAAACTAGATTACTGATAAATTTGAGAACTTCAAATTTCCATTGGAGTGCATACATTTCATTTGATTGAGTTTTGCAAATTGTCGAAAATGATGGGTTGGAGGGAGGGGGCAGGGTTGATCCGAAATCCTTACGGTTTTTTTTCATATAGCTTTTACGCTGATTATCCTATAGCAAGAGTGAGCATCGTTGATAGTTCTTTTTGCATCTTCATAAAAGCTGTGTTACTTGAAGTAAAGTTAACACAGTTATCACTAAATGGATGTTAGTGAAGGAATTTGCATTGAACTCTATATAATTGCTGCATTGAAACAGTGTTGTTCAGCTCCACCCTGATGTTTTTATTTAGAGTGCTTCACATATATATCTTCCCTTGCTGTTACACTTTCACTAATTTAGCTTCTCACCACAGGTTTCTAAATTTGGGTCAGTTGAAGTTGAGAAACTAATGAACATCGAGCGATATTCCCATGTTATGCACATCAGTTCCACGGTTAGTTTTTCCTGTCTGATATGTGCATTCTTTGTTGGAGTTTAGGCCTCTGAATTCAACATAAAACCAATAAGCTCGTGAGTGCTTCAGATTTGTTGAATTGCTTACTACCTTTCTCTTATTGTTAATTTTTATGCTTCACTGCCAATTCACAGGTCACTGGAGAGCTTCTTGACAGCTTAAGTAGTTGGGATGCTTTGCGTGCTGCATTGCCTGTTGGAACAGTTAGTGGAGCACCAAAGGTTTTTTCTTTACCTGAATTTTATTATTTTACATGTTCCATTCTATTTCTCCTAATTCAAATATTTTTGTAGTTGTACAAATGTAATATAATAGAAAATGTACAATTCAATTATAAGTATAACCTTTTAAAAGCATTTGGTCCACATCACAATGTGTCAAACCCAAACAAAATAACTATATTACGGGACAGAGGGAGTAAAAATAAATATTACGGAGTACTTGCAAATGTTCTAATCCAACTACTTTATAAAGTTTAAACTAATATTCTAAAATTAACAATGAACTCCAATGTGATAATGATTATTTGTGTGTTTGTTTTACTATTATTTGAATAGAAAAATCATTGCTGCTGAAAGCTCTATACATTCATGTAATGGTGTAACTTTCCTCTTGTGGTCTGTGGTGAACAGGTAAAGGCAATGGAACTGATAGATGAGCTTGAAGTGACTAGGCGTGGGCCATACAGTGGTGGATTCGGAGGGATTTCTTTTTCAGGTGATATGGATATAGCCCTAGCTTTGAGAACAATCGTTTTTCCAACGGGAACGCAACATGACCACATGTACTCCTACAAGGATGTAAACAGACGGAGAGAGTGGGTTGCTCATATTCAAGCTGGGGCAGGCATAGTTGCTGATAGCGATCCCGTGGATGAGCAGAGAGAGTGTGAAAATAAGGCCGCAGCCCTTGCCCGTGCCATTGATCTAGCTGAGTCATCCTTTATCGAGTAGATGTTTGTTTTTGCTACATCAATTTTAATACTTGCACAGTTGCACCATAGAATGTTGCCACGGTTATATTCCACAAATTAATTGTTAGGCCTTAGATATTTTTCTGATACATTTTCTCATTCAGATCACAATACTACATTGTATTATTTATGAACTTCATAGCACATATACATTTTATAAAGCAACACTTGTATAATACTATTGTTAAATGTTAATACACGTAGCATCACTCTTCACTATAGTGTCTCGCTTGTTAATGAATACAATAGTAATTAAGGACAGGTTCATTGGAACATATGTTTATTGGTCTGGAATCAACTGGCATGTTCTTACTTCATGACTCATGCTTGTAAATTTATTCTTGTAAATTTATTCCTGTCTAGTTTGCTCTGAGACTATAAAATAATAGAAAAATCCTGATGAAAATTCAATTAAAGTCTAGAACGATCCTTGGCTTCCATATGTCCTGGAGTTTCAACTGCTCCAATTGAAGGCCTGGAAAACATGGTGGTTAGCGGTCTGATGTGCTGTCAAACTGGGGATTGGGATGCAGATATTATTCGGTACTTGTTCAATCACATAGACACAAAATTAATTCAAAGCATTTCAATAAGTAGGAGGTAGCTACCTGATAGATTGATCTGGAGGTGGGAGGATAGCGGCAAATTCTCTGTTGGGAACTGCTATCGGAAGCTCATGGGTGAAGTCCTGGTTAATTCTTGGGTTCAATTGTTCAAAGGAGGGGAGGGAAGGGGAGAATCAAGGAGGGAAGGGAAGAGGAAGGAAGATTTTGATAAAAAAAATGTGTTTGGTTGGAGGAAATAGGAGGGAAGTTTAAGGAAATTATTTTCCAAATTTACCTTTATTTAATAGCTTATTTAAAAAGCTAGATACATCTAAATACTATGAATATTACTCCTAAAGTCATGAGTCATTATATAACTATTTTTTAATTTTTATTTTTTTAATTTTAAATTTTTATTTTTTTTTAAATTTTAAAATTTTCTTAATTATTATATTATTAATTTTAAAAAATTTTTTAATTTTTTAATTTTTAAAAATTTCTTAATTTTTTAATTTTTAAATTTTTAAAGTTTTCAATTATTTAATTTTCTGATATTTTAATTTTCGATTTTTAAATTTTTAATTTTTTAGTTTTTAGTTATTTTTTTATTTTTTATTTTTCAAATTTAAATTTTTTCAAATTTTAATTTTTTTTATTTATTTTATATTTTTATTTTTATTTCATTTTTGCATTTTTTTCGTTTTGTCTATTCACATCAGAAGAAGTCAAATAATGAAGAAATGCAGGGCAGTTTTGTTAATAAAATGAGTTATTTCAACCATCTCAAATGTGAATTCAAAAAATGTACTCCGTATATAGCAATAAACCAAAAGTAGATCATTATGCTGTCCTGCATGTGTTCGCACGTTAACTCATCAAGAAGGAAGTATATTGTTGTGATGGCGGCAAATGCAACAGCAGTAGTTGAGGTGATTGCCACTAGCCACATCGGGTGCACACAAAACCCAAATGGCACAAAAACTAATGTCAGCGAAAATTAGGAGAAATAATTATTTCTCGCATGGGGTGGGAACATTTCCTGGTTTTCTCAAATGAAGTATAGAACAACAACTTGAATAAATATCCACCTACAAGATACCATTCACTCTGAACATAAAAAACTACAGAAGCATTAAACATGTGGTAAAAAACCCTCTCTTTGTCTATTGTAACTAAAATAGAAATGCATACTAAATTGCTAAGCTATGCGATTAAAGAAAACAAATGTTAACATTCAGATTGAAGAAGCTGCTAATAGCGCTTACGTGTTAATTAGCAGACTGTCAACCAACCGAGTTGGCAAGCAATATCTGGCAGTATAATCACATCCACAAATGACTCGGTAAGAAAGGAATGATCAAGCATCACGTAACTCTTGAATGAGCTTCATTATCTCATCACGCATTGTGATCTCCACAGAAGCATCAACATGCCTTTGAACAGCAGAAATCCAATCAACATCTTTGTTATTATTCCTGGTAGATGAAAACCATTGACAGACAGCCCGGGCAATTGCAATGACATAAATTCCACAATCATATCCATTTTTCTGCTGAGGGGAGGGGACTTCAACAAATTCAGGTATTGCATCAGCAATAGGAGCAGGAGGTTTCTTCTCCTCATTTATCATAGATTGTGGCGGTTGAGTGGCAACAGGAGGTCCCATAAACCCCTTGAGTGACTTATAGATATGCAAGGCATGCAGATGATTAGCTCCAGCAATGCTGTCAAGATGTGAGAAACTATTCTTAGTTCTGTCATAAACAACCAGGCTCCAGTGTGCTCCGGATTGACCCCCATCAAAATCAGTGCAATCATTTACAGGGAAAAGGACCAGCTTTTTGGTGGACAGTTTTAATGGTTCCATAAAATCACCAAGGTTTTCATCCCGGGAATGGGCAAGGAAAAAGGAAACAGAGGGATGAACAAGTAGGATATCTTCTTCTTTTGAATCATACAAGGAAGACAAATAACTGAAATAGAAAGCTATTATTTGATCGGTTAGATAAAAAGGCCCCTGAAGAGCATGTAAATCCACACCCCTCAATACAACGTCCTTATAGCTTAAAACGATTTCTCGTTCATCCATAACACCTAGACGTCGCTGAGTGGGAAGTCCAGGAAGTGCTTCGCAGGTGCAAATTGAAGTGCTTTTTGCCGGATTTTTCTGCAGAAGCATGGACTTGGTGAATGATGGACACAGAGAGTAGCTTGGTTTGCAGTATATTTTAGGTTAAAATCAAACTTGTTTCAGATTTGTAGAATTAGTTTTCACAAGCTCTTTGCTATGGGTGGCCTCCACGCCTGGCAGGCCAAGCCTAGTGCAGCAACTAGACAGGTCTGGACATATTCATACAGTGCTACTTCATCTATCCCAAAATGATTTGCAAAGTTTACCTTATTTTAATCAAAACAGTAACTTTATTTATATATTTAGAATATCATTTTTTCCTGTTGGATTTTGCGACTATAAAAGCTTTTATTGTAGTTCCAAAATATGTAAATCATAACTATTAAAATTGATTTAACTATTTGCAGGGATGGTTTAACTTTATCATCAATCAACCTTAAAACTGCAAATTGCAAACCAATTTGAGGAGGAAGTACAACACAAGGACTGATAGGTTGACACTAAAAGAACTAAATAATGCATCCACTTTTAAGGCTCCAGTTGGTGGTGAATGCTAAAATTGCTTAAAAGCCACAAATTGATTTGAAAGTTGAAATTTATGAACTGACATTGCTTGGTTATTATTTTGGCTAAAAGGGGCATTTAAGTGTACTCAGAAGGGTTTGTAGTGGTAGTTACGCATAACTCGGGCCGGTCCTACCTATCTATGAAAGGGCCTAGGCCTTAGGGCTTAGGGGCAATAGTCTATCATGGGCTTATTCTAAAAAGAAAAAGACATTGTAAAACATATGTAGTACTTCTTTTTGAATATGATGCATCATAAAAATATTTTAGTATATACCGAAGTACATCGTACAGAAAAGAAGTACTTCAATAACTGGATATGTCGCATATTCAAACACAAGTAGAACCATAGCTATCAAATAAAAAACATTTGATCCGCCAAAATCAATTTATGTATCTTCGACTCCTGAATCATCATCATCTAGATCATTTTCAACCGTTTTATTTTCAGCACCTACATCATTATTCCAATGAGGATTACCATTTTCCCTTCAAATAACAGAATTGGTTGCTGACAGCTTTGTAGTGTACTCCCTCCGTCCCTCTAACTTTGTCCCGTTTTACCTTTTACGTCTGTCCCATTAAGTTTGACCCATACCATATTTGGTAATATTTGAGTGGTTAGAATTCATTCTTTATTCTTTATTCACACTTTATCAATTCAATACCAACCACACAATTCTACTTTTTCTTAAAAACCACACCACACCCCTTTGTCCCAAACTTAGGGGGACGGAGGTAGCATTATATTGGGATACACATTCAATTTTAGTTTCTTTACACATAATTTTTCCATTGACCTTGTTCAATGTAGGCAGTGTGTTCTAAAAAGCGCCATGCGGGCCAATGCGCAAGGTTTAACCGAAACGCCCCGCATACTCAATAGGCGAGAACAAAGGCGTCCAGCCCAAATAATTTTTTGCGCATTCCTGTTTACCGAGCTAAATTGGCCGAAGTATGCAAGGAACGTTGGGCACTGGCTGTTGCCTACTCCAACTGAAGCGAGAATAACTCTTATTTGTTAGCTCATACGGAGGATTAACTTTCCTCTCCATCCAGTGTGGGAGAGGTGAAATAGAAGAATGAACGAAATTTTAAAACAAACTACTTGTGCTTCCTAAGTTCCTTCAAGAATAAATCTGCATGCATATATTATACTCCCTATTACGTATAGAATTAAGCCACATATAAACCACAACCTACAAGTCTACGCCATCAATTGTGGACATTCGAAGTTTGATATGAAATTAGCTGATAATTATTAAATAGACACTATCATATAAACATCAGTTCTCCGTATTACTGCTACTCTTATGAAGTTGTTATTATTATGATCATTGTTATTATCAATATCAACATCATCATTCCAATTATTACTAATTATTAATATTATTGTATTATTATTTTTATATATTAAATCATTGGGAGTAAAGTAAGTTACACCAAGACAAAAATCATGTTTCGATCACCAATCATTGAATCAGATATCGAGTTAATCACTCATATAAAAGCAATATGATTCACTAATCCTAACACAGGCACTTACAATCCAAATATGATCGATTTAGATTCTTTGTCACCCACTTGAATATGAACCCTAATAACTAAGATATAAAGCACCAAACAAGTGCAAAATAATGTAAAATAGTAATCATAAGAAGTTAAGAACTAACATAAGACTTAAGACTCAAACCTAGATAGCAAGACTCACCCTTTATCCATTTTTACGTATGCCAGATTCATATCCATCCCCATTAGATTTAATGTTTTTTTCATGATTTATATATTACGTATATATTTACATGCTTACTAATACCAATAGAGAAATTTTAAAAAATAAGTACAAATTCAAAACGCTTTTTCACGCCTAGGCGATGCATAAACTCGTCTAGGCTTCAAAGGCTCAAGGCTTGGCGGTGCCGCCTCGGCACGCCTTACGCCTTTTAGAACATTGAATGTAGGATTTAGGACAGCTTTCTCTAATCTTTTTTCATTTTTCTTCCATATAGGTTCAACCATTATATCAAAACCTTGAAATTGATTAAAATCACAGATAATGGAATTAATATCAAATATGCACACTTAAAAAATTCAACTGACGAAAAAGTTTCACTCTAGCACAAAATAACAATTCAGCGAGATAACATGTTTTGATAAAATAATAACTACAAACATATGAAGCAACAATTGAACAAAACTAATTTTAAAAGTGCAAGAAAAAACTGATGAATTCACATTGAAGTTTTACCCGGGTCTTGGAGGCTGGGTGGCTGTGAATTGTGAATACGAAGTCAGGCAAAGCTGTAAATATGATTTTTTTTAATAGTTATTTGCTTTGTCTGAGTCGGTAAAACTACTGGAGAGCAGTGGAGGGTTGAGTCATTCTTAAAATTTTTGGGTTTCAACACTCTAATTTTTCAATGTATTTTACATTGAATCAATGAAGATACTAGATTGTTTGATTTCTTAATTTCTACGGCAATAACCCAATGCGTTTAAAATTTTGAATGGCTTAGAGCACCAGAGCATTAGAACTTACAAAGGATGACTATGGAAGAGAAGAGCTTCTTGACAATTATCGTTTTCCCTTTCAAGCTTGAAACGCCGTCTCTGCTGGATGATAATTGGGTGTGTTTGGTATGTTAGCATAGGTGTTCGGAAATTTTCTTCACATTCAATATTAGTTTCTTTACAAAATATAGTTCGTGCTTTTAAATTTGGTGATTATGAGACTTAACTTTTAATCAAACATGTAATTTTTATTTTTGCGGAATAAATTGTGTAATAATAAGAAAAAATAAGGTTGAAGTTACTTTTCTGGCGGTATTGTCTGAAGTTACTATACATCACCATATTTTCATATAATTTTACTTTATTTTATTAATAAAAAATATTTTAAATATAATTTATTCATAAATTATCAAATACAGCCACTTCACCAAGAAGTTCAAAAATTTCAGCAGAATTAGCCGTTTCAACCGATTTTAAAGTCTTCTAACATTTGAAATTGATATTTCCAATTCTTCTATTGTGCTTTATCGTGAAAAGTGAATGAGTATAAGTGTCAACGAAAGTGCTTGACAGTCATTTATTGGTTACTAGCTGTCAGTTTTTCTTGCACCAATTGCAAGTTGCGGTCCAATTCCCGGTGTTCGGGTCCTTCCACTTAGTAAAATTATTAGCCATTAATTCAGATTTACTTTTTTTTGTACATGTTTGGGATGAGGCTGCTTGGTCGGCGTCATGGCTGCCGCCACCCTCTTCCTCCTCCTCGTCGTGGCTCTCCGGAATTGCTTCCTCCACATCGTCGTCCTCGTCCTCGAGCTCTTCTTCGTCAATGGTCCTCGGTTGGTCTTGAAAAAAGCGGGAATTATGTCGGTGCAATTCTTGTTCTAGTTGTTCGTCGGTCATCGCATCCCCATCCCTCCTTACGTAACCCGTATCAAAATCATCTTGACTTTGAGATGAAGAGCCGATATGTGATTTACCTTTGCGGGGTCTCTTCCTCGCAAGCTCTTTCGTTCGGTTGCGCTCGAGGTTACCCATATCAACCGAATATCTAGGACGATCCATCTAAAAAATGTAGCGATTAATAAAAAATTGTAAAAAACTAATTAACTATTTATCTAACTATTAATTCGAGTTATAGCAAATTAAGTAGTGAATTAACTAGTTTTGTGTACAACATATTTTTTAAACTAGAGTCAAATGTAGCAATTAATAAAAAATTGTAAAAAACTAATTAACTATATTAATAAAAAAATGTAATTCCAACTATACTAATTAACTAGTAATTAAACAAGTGTAAATAATAGAATAATTTCGTACCTCTTTCGGACTTTCGGTCTTTCGGATGGGAGTAATAGAATGACTTCAAATTAATTAGATATAATTCCAACTATATTAATAGATATAATAAATATATAAGTAATATATAATTAGATAACAAATATAAGTAATATAATACTATTTATATCTATTTATAGTTTATATAAGTAGATAATTAATATAAACTATAAATAATAAATATAATATATTGGAGAATGGAGAATAAGAGAATTAGAGAGTAGAGAGTTAAGAATAGGATTTAGGAAGAATTGGAAAAGAGATATGAAAAAATGTTTAAGATTAGGAGTATTTATAGGTTTTTTTACCCCCCACCCCCCCCACCACCCCCCCCACCACCCAACCCCCCGGACCCCCCCTTTACCCCACCCAACGGCTATATAGCCGTTTGGGTTGTCCCCAGCCCCACCCCCAACGGCTAGTAGGAGCCCAAACCAATTTTTTTTTTTTTAAAATTGAACCGGACCCGGGCCCGGGCCCGACCCGGCCGGGCCGGGTCACAATAATGCTGAACCGAGCCCGCCCCGCCCCTTCCCACCGGTTCGGGCCCATACCCGGTCCCGGACCGCCCGACCGGGCCGGTCTCGGGCCCGCACAGTACCGGGCCGGGCCGGGTCACGGGCCGGGTGGCCCGAACCGAATCCATCCCTACTAGCTGATAGTCGATCGAATCAGCAGATTGATACTAACAAATTCTATTAGATATTTTAATCAACTACTTTTAATTAGCAATTTCAAGTAAAATGTTTAGTAACTTAGATGTTTGTGAATAGTTGTTAAGACGTTAGATGACTATTAAGAATATGAACTTAAAAGTACATATTTAATTTAACTTTATTTCTTTTGTTTTTTAATAAGCTTTGGAAAAAGTTTTAAAATTTATGTTTACTTTTATTTTGAGAGAATTTTCCAAATAGGAGAAAAACATAGGCAAAATGCAAAAATAGGAGTATCATGTTTTGAATAGGAGTAACTTTAGTGTTTGGACAAGTATACCCCTACCCAAGCCCTAAGCCCCAACAACTTTTAATTAAATGTTTAATTCATAATAAATTCGAAAAAAAATCTAAAATTCGTTGAAAAATAATAAAAAAATTTATAAAATATTAATAAAATAAAAAATTTTAATTTTTTTTAATTTTTAAGTTTTTTTTAAAATTAATAAAAAATAGTAAAACCCATAAAAAAAATTAAAAAAAATATGGATGCCTTTCCCACCGCCTGTACTACCTTACTGCGCCACCACCTCCGGGCGGTGAAAAAAAATCAATTTTTCATAAAAACTGCCAATTTTTTCTGAAAATGCCAAAAACATGGCATATTTCTCTTTGCGAATGCCAACATTTTCATTATTTTCTGCCATAAATATGGCATTCGTAATGAACTTGGCATTTTTTCCCCTGGTGACGGGAGGTGGTGGTGCAGAGGCGGCAGAGGCGGCGGTGATTTTTTTTTTGAGTTTTTTTTTTTTTTAAAAAAATATATTTTTTTATTTTTTGAAAAATAAATAAATAAATTATTATTATCGAATGTCATAAATTAACTAGGTTAAGATTAAATAAGTCATATTTTAGAATTTACTAGGTTAGGGATATTAATTATTAAGGGTACAAAATTAATGTTTACTCCTATTGAAGGAAGTTTTAAGTTATACTCCTATTTGTGCAATTATGTTTATGTTTACTCCTATATTGGGCAATTTCTATTTATTTTATATAATTACTATCACTATAATTTTAACCAATGTACATTTACATGAGCACACACATATAGATTCTTTTATTTTTAGTATTAATATTTTAAATATGACTATTTTGTTTTTTAAATGCTAGTCCATATATATAAAGTAGCAATAATATTCATACTGATAAAACAGTAAAAATATTCATACTGACTTTATGCAGTAGAAAATGTTAAATACTACTGTCTAGGTCCCATTGTATGTGTCCTACTTTGGTTTGACACAATAATTAACAAAGTGATTGAAAAAGTAAAATTTATGAGTGAGATTGAAGACTTGAATATAATAAAGTGAAATGTTATAGTGAGGCTTGAGGTATAATAAAGTGAAATACTATAGATCCCATTTTTTTTTCAAAAAGGAAATGTGACACTTAGTTTGGAACACGCCAAAAAAAGTGGGTCAAGTAAAATGAGAAAGAGGGAGTGGTAAAATTACGGAGTATTAGTTTTCACAATACTTCGAGGGCTAAATATCGAGAATTTTAAAGTCAATGACAAACCGTTTCACTCACAAAATTGTCTAGTTTTATTGTTTCACCAATTTGTCTTTGAAACTTTTCTTTTTACCAATTTGATAAACCATCCTCTTTTTTTACCAATTTGGTAATTTAGCCGTTAGCGGTAACACGTCTATATACATGCTGATTTTGTCTTTGTACAATTCCAAAATTTTATTTTTGCTAAGATCAACGTCTATAGACACCCGTAGGGTTGTAAACGAATCGAATTGAGTCGGATAATGAGATTTTGTATTTGTTTAATTTTTTCGAATACGAATTCGAATTCAAATATGAAACGAATATTAATTTTGATTTGTATTTGTTTAACAATATGAATAATTAACGAATCATATACGAATATCGAATCGATTTGATCATAGGTTAAATATCAGTCAAATATCACTCTAACATAACTTTTCTTATACTCCGTATTTTTTTGTTGTTGTTGAGTTTAATCCAACACGATATAGTAAATATGTATATAAATGTGTATGAAAAACTATTTTTACGTGGAAACCCGAAAGGGAGCAAACCAAGCCCTCTCTTTCTCATTAGGACTCTCCTCACCATTACATTGTACAAGCTCCCATTAATGGAGTATTGAAGCTAACTATCTAGATAGAGGAAGAAGAAGCTAAAAGGGGATCCTTTTCTATGGAGGCAAGGCTCCTATTTATAGGGGAGAGGGGAGGAGACATTCCACCCTAATGGGCCAACCGGGCCTAAACGGGCCTCTTGGGCCTAGGCGGGCCAAATGGGCAGAAATGGGCCCAAAGGCCGAGGCGGACCTGATAGGCTAAAATGGGCCTTACTGATTGGGCTCTGTACTACGTAAAGTCTTGGGCTCCTGAACAGTAATAGGCCGGGATGATATATCCCAACACAAGTCCCCCAGTTTCTTGAGTAGTGAGCGTGTGAATCTGCTCAAGAAAATATACTCTTGCATGTGCTCTTCCTCTGTCTTGTTAGAAACTGTGTCTTCGAGTAATCATAATATATGAGTGGGTGTATGTCCCCCTGAATATAATCTGCCAGGAAGGCGCTCCCCTCCTGAAGAGGTCGGGCAAGGGATGCTCTTCCCCGGACACTCTCCCCCTGAATGTATCAAGTGGGAGTAGAGGACTCTGACTCGAGCTTTCCAATGGAGAAGCTTAGAGGTCCCTGCACAATATAAGCTGACGACACGGAGACTGGCTCGATGTGACGTATATGTATGTATGGATATATGAGAGATGATGCATGAATGCATGGATGCATGTAATCTATGGGTGCAATGTATGAGAGAGGGCATGTAAGATGTGATACAAAACGATGGATCTCATCGGTAAACTGGGCACGCCGGCGCTGAGGGGCCGAGCGTGCTGCATAATACATTCGTTGCCACGGTATGGTCTTACTTCGAATGAGAACTGGACAAGAATGGCGTTGAGGGGCCGTTCGTGCTGCATAAGACGTTCGTCGCCATCCTGAAGGGAATGAGCGAAACCGAAGATGAGTTAGACACGATGGCGCTGAGGGGCCGATCGTGCTGCATAAGACGGTGGTCACCATCCTGGAAGGAATGTACGAGCCGACCGTGAACTAGACACGTCGGCGCTGAGGGGTCGAT